GCCCAGGTCCTCTTCGAATTTTGATGGAAGCCATGACCATCATCCTTCTGTTGAAAACATATGTTCCAACTTGGGCTTGTAGTTTTAGTTATGGTCTCAAAGGCCCTGAAACTTTTCCATGAAATAGACTGAGAAGAATCCCAGTAGATGAGGTCAGAGGCAAGATGATAGTGTCCTGTACCAGTGAGCCTCTCTGGGCTTTGGCTTTGCCCCACGTGAAGTCAGGGGGGCACTGGCCAGCAACACCCAGATGAGGGCCAGGAAAGATGCTCCCTGTTTCTGTTATATTTGCCTTACTTTGTTCAGTTAACTTTCAAGGAAACTTGTGTGCCAGAGACAATTGTCTTGGAAGTCCAAAATCAGTTAGACCTCTCCTAAGTAACTCCTGAGCCAGCACTCACCCTCCAAACCTGCCACCTGCATTCTGCCACCAAAGGTAGTAGCAGCATAACTGAGGTCCTGGAGATGAGCTACTTCTCTCAGATTTTGATTAGATTTTCGTTTTGTAGTGCTGGGGATTAAACCTAGGTCCTTGCAAATGCTGCACAAGCATTCTACCACTGAACCACCCCATCCCACCCCACCCCAGCCATTTGATCAAGTATTTGAAGCATGGCTGTGGTAAAGTTTTATAGAAACCAGGCAAGGTAGCACACGCCTTTAGTCCCAACCCTTGGAGGCAAAGGCAGGTGATGTCTGTGAGTTCGAGGCTAGATTGATCTACAAAGTAAGTTCTAGGATGGCCTCAAGAGACCATCTCAAATATTCAAGAAAACAAAGTACTCCAAAATTTATGAGCTAGCAAATGGTTTCTTTACTTAGTCATGATTTCCCCCTTTGAAGAATACTTCCATTATTTTTCATTGGTATATTTTAAGGTTGGTGTGTGTGGGTGTGTGGGTGTGTGTGTGGGTGGGTGGGTGAGTAGGTAGGTAGGTGGGTAGGTAGATGTTTGTGCCTGTTGAAACCAGAGGTCAACCATAGCTGTCATTCCTCTGGCATTGCCCACCTTGTATTTTGAGACAGGGTCTCTCACTGGCCTGAAACTGGACAACGGGTAGGGTAGTGTAGACTAGCTGGCCAAGGAGCCCTAGTGATCTGTCTTTCCCCAGCACTGGGGTCACCAACTTGTGCTTGGGTACTGGTGACCAAACTCAGGTCCTCATGCTTGAAGGAAAAGTATTTCACTGAATGAGGTGTCTCCCCAAGTCCCACTTCAGGTTTGTGTGTGGAGATGAGAGGACACCTGCGGCCAGTTTCCACCTGGTTAAACTCAGGTCAGCAGACTTGGACAGCAAGCCCTGCACCTGTTTAACCATCCTACTGACCCTTAAGTTTTTGTCTTTTTAAAAACGATTATTGGTGCTGGGTGGTGGAGGTGCAAACCTTTAATCTTAGCACTCAGGAGGCAGAGGCAGGTCTCTGTGAGTTTAAGGCCAGCTTGTTTGTTCTACAGAGATCCAGGACAGCCATTACATAGAGAAACTGTCTCAACAAACAAACAAAACAACTATTACTGTTCAAAAGCTACTAATCAGATTCTGATTTAAAAAAAAGCCTACTATTTCCACCAGTTAGAAAACTGCTTTAAACATAGTTAGGAGGAAAACCTCATGCCTCCAGATTTTTCTTTTTTCTTACATCCTTGGGTCCTATTATCATTTGGGTGGATCACTCTTTTGGGAGGGTCTTGGGCTCCTCCAGCAAAGGAAGGAGAGAGATAGAGAACAGGATTGGTGCCTGGTACTGGAGACAGGTTGACAAACTGAAGGCAAGGGCTGCCCTGCTATGGTGCCCTGTGTGCTTTCTTGTTTCTCTAAGGGTATTGCTGAAGCTCACATGTATAATCAGACACACAGTTACAAACTATGTGTGGAGAACAATCTCTGTGTACCACTGATTTTCCTTTGGGCAACCCTATTAGGATGTTTTTTCATGAGTAGTTCTACATAGTTTTGATGTGGAAAACTCAGCCTACGTTTGTGCTAAGATTTAAAAGAATTAATTCACTTGGCATATGTCCTGCACATAATGATTTTGAAATACTGCATTAACGTTGTTGAATGTTTCTTATGTAGTTAATGTATGCATGTGAAACTCAGGACTCTTGCTTCAAAGCAGACGCACCAGCTTCTTCCTGTACTCGTGCTCTAGTACGGCTCCTTGGCTCTTTCTGAGTTCAAGAATGGAGGAGCTGGCCATTTAGTAAAGTGCTTGCTGCACGAGCCAGAGGGTCTGAGTTAAAAACTCCACATCCACATAAAATCCCAGGGCTGGGGGACTGACCGGCCAGCCAGTCTGGTCACAATGATTAGCTCTAAGTTCAGTAAAATACTTGTCTCAAAAACTAAGCTTAACTGGGCGTTGGTGGCACATGCCTTTAATCCCAGCACTTGGGAGGCAGAGGCAGGTGGATCTCTGTGAGTTCAAGGCCAGCCTGGTCTCCAGAGCAAGTGCTAGGATAGGCTCCAAAGCTGCACAGAGAAACCCTGTCTCAAAAACAAAACAATAATAATAATAATAATAATAATAATAATAATAATGTTGGATGAAATTGACAGACACAAAATAAGACAGCATGGTAGAACTTGTTTGGAATGTATAGGAAAATATTTCATATATGAAAGGAGAGCACTTGCCTGTCTGACACACAGCTGTTCTTTGATGTCTCCCTACAGAAAGTTTTTGTCATGCCAAACATGGATGATGTTTATATCCCTTTAATGCACTCCGCCATGGACCCTCGCTCCACTTCCTGCTTCCTGAAAGACCCCCCTGTGGAGGCCTCTGACCAGCTGTGATGGGTGAAAATGGGACATCCCCCAGTATTATGAGACCTAGCGAGAGGTGTGGGATTTGTGGCTGCCATCTGTGCTGTGGGGCTGGCCTTTGCTAGTCCACAGCCACTTGTCTCTTAAGAACTGCATCTGCCCTCTGCCTGCGGTGCCCATTCCACTGTTGAGGCGTCGTGCCCTGCATCCAGTGACCAGTGTCTGGTTAGTCTGTTGCAAAGTTTTGACTGGCACAGGAGACTGGAAGAACCATCATGATGGAGCCAGAAGTTACAGCTGACTATAACACCGTGGCTTGCTTTTTTTTTTTTTTTTTTTTTTTTTTTTTTTTACCCATTTTTTAGCAGCAAATGAGCACATTTGGAGCAAAGCTGTACAATTGGAAGGCTTTCCCTTGCCTCGACTCCTCCAAAGCTTTTCCTCAGGCAGTTGGTGCACAATGGAACATTTTTCCACTCTACACTTTGTACTCATGATTGCAGCCCTCCACACGTGGGGAATATCACTGTAACCTGTGTGGAGTGTGGTTTTGTGAGCCATTTCATCGGTGGTAAAGATAGGCATAGCAACTTTTTTCATATTAAATTGTGCGTTTTGGAAGCAAGTAGCCATAGGACATACACACCCACAGACACATTTTCAGCTGGGGTGAGGACAGTGGGTTTCATGTGAACATCAGGCAAAGCCATGAGACCAAGCCATCCCAAATGAGGTACAATCACCTTGCTTCTAACCAATCCTGATTATTTCTCATGACATGAGCATAATAAGGTCAAGCAGTACACACAATGACTGATTGTTCCTCCCTGGTACTGATGGGATGAGGCCAGAAAGCCGGAGCCAAGCTGTTCTTTTCTGGTTTTTCTGCGTGCTCCAGGAAGCATCTGTAGGATGGGAGGACCTTGCTCATCTAACTGGTTTGGGAGGTTTGTGGGCAGTCCCCTTCTCTGATGGCCAAACCAAGGACTGCTCTTTACCTTGCTAGTCAGCGTCAAGCACTACATTTCCACCTGCACTTGTGACCTTTCTTTAATGTTGCCAACTTAAGTTTGAGCATTTGTATCAGAATGTTTAGTTTACAGATTTGGGGCCTCTAACTGTATAATTTGCTTCGAAAAGACCTAATACAGTTTTGTTTAAAGCTGCATCCAATGTCAAAATTACCTTGGGTAACTTTTGATAATTTAATGTCTGTGCACAAAGCTAGTAGTGTTTTTTTTTTAAACAGCACCTTGCCTGAAGATGACTTTACAGAAATTAATATATTAAGATTTTATATTTGAACCTTTATTTTAATCATCCCATTAAAACATGACAAATTATTTGACCATTCCAGTCAATGTACTGCCCTAATTAATCATTGTGTAGGCCAGTTCACCTGTCACAGTCAGCATGTCTTTTTTTTTTTTTTTTTTTCTGTGCAGTAGTGACTAAGGGCAAAGACTAGATAGAAACACTACAGTGTAAAGAGATCACACGACTGTACCCTGTCACTTAAAAAATAGTATGTGGGGACTTACAATCGCATTGTTTCACAAAATAAATATCTCATGTCAAACACCAGAAAGGCATCGGTTATTTCTAGAAAAGCCCATGAAGTGAGAGCAGAGCATCTAGACATTTGGGCTAGTTTACCCAAATGAGGTACATTTGGGTACCTGCTAGCCCAGCTTTACCAAGGCAGGAATGTAACTGAACTATCAGTTTTCTCATGTGGAAAGATGAAGGTGGTAAAATGAGGGACTAACCTTGTTTTCTAGGGCTGTGGTGATCCCTAACTGGGGCTCACTCTCAAATTATCCATGCACTGTCATCCTGTTTCCGTGTCACACACACACACACACACACACACACACACACACACACAGAGTTCCTCAGCTGACAAGTGGCCCTGTATTTAGACTAACACAGCTCCTTGACTACAATTGCTTGCTAGTAAACTAATTTGACAACTTAGTTTGCCTAAAGCTTCCGGGCTTTGTTGTCAAAATGCCCAACTAAGTAATTTCTATATAAAGTTATTTCCTTATTAATGCTCTTACCAAGCATGTTCTAGGAGCTGGAGAGATGGCTCTGTGGTTAAGGGCACTGACTTGTTCTTCCAAAAGACCGGGTTTCAACTCCCAGCACTCACATGGCAGCTCACAACTTAATTCCAAGATCTGACAACCTCACATACATGAGGGAAACCACCAATGCACACAAATACGATTTTTAAAAAATGCTCTGTGGTGTACACGTCTTTAATGCCAGCACTCAGGAGGAAGATACATCCGAGTTCAAGGTCAGCCTGATCTTATAGAGGTCCAGGACAGGCTCCAAAGGTAGAGGAGGCCTGTCTCTTAAATTCCTCCATAGCATAACTACTAGGTATTCCCAGTTACTCAAACCCAGTTACACACCCCAGTAACGGAGAGGGACCTACAGCACATTTGCTAGTCAAACATTGATCCCTCTAGGCGGCCTCCCCTAATTACTTTGAGCCCCTCTCCCCGACCAGATTTCAGTCGCCTCAACACCCATGTGCCACCGATGACGATTATACACTTGCAGGGCTATTCATGAGGCTCCCTCTCCTGCTATCTACCGTAGGGCGAGCATCACCTCAGTTGTCACCCAACAGGTCCACGCACGTGGGCCATGGTTTCCCCACGGGTATGCCACTTGCACGCTGCCTTCTCTCGACCCCGCAGAGCCTGTGGTAGGCTGGTTTGGACCTGTAGCTAGCAGTTAAAAGGGCCGCCCGCGATGGGCAGACGGCCCCAGTTATGAACTAGCAATTGCTGTGGCGCCGCAGCTTAACTCCCGGCGCCACGAGGAAGGGCGCCGGGGGCTCAAAGGCAGCGCATCGGGGGCAGTGACACACGGACGCCAGCGCTGGGGTCAAAACACTTTATTCAGAGACTTGGGGGAAAGGTTGGCGAGGTCCACGTTGTCCGCCGTCCTCCACCGGGCAGATCTGAAAGAGAAGCCTAGGGTGAGGGGGTGGAAGTCGCCGGGCCCGCCATTTCCCGCGCCGCCGCCGCCGCAGTCGGCTCAGACTCGGATTCGCATCACCCGGATCAGCAGTCTAACGCGTGCTTTGTATGGATTGTCATCACCGCCGACCGGCCGGCCGCCCACCCGCCGAAGGGGCACCCCTCGGCCACCGCCAAGGAGACTTTACCTGGAGTCCACCCGTCGCTAAGAGGCAGACGAGAGCGCGAGACCTTCACTTAAAGAAGGCTTCCGGAAGTAATTGGGCGGGCTCTCACTATACTGGCCAATAGGAAGTCAGTTCTCTTGTCATGTGCACAGGAGCGATCGACTCATTGGTCAGGCTTTCTGAGTCCTCCAGAGTGGAGAAAGGTCACGCTCTAACCATAGAGCTGGGAAGAAACTGGCCTTTTGCAGGTTGCTGGTTTTTATCGCTTCCGGATTTATTTTCTGCAACTCAGTTCGGAGTCTGTAATTAGCGCGTCCCTTAGCAGTAAGCAGACGAGTAAAAACGTCCCGGCAGCCAGGCTGAGGGTGGGAAAACGAGCCTCGGTAGCCCTGGGTTCACAGGACCCGGCGGTAGAAGGAGCTGACACCGTGTCTGAACGAATTCCGATTTCGTGATGAATTGGGTCATTTAACTTTTCTGGTCCTCAGTTTCTGACTGTCCTCCCACAGCCCGCCGTGATGACTCACCCGTAATCCCAGCGCTTGAGAGGTTTATACGCCCAGTTTAAAATCTTTAATTTGTATATTATGTTTGGATGAAAGCGTGTGTACCAAAGCTGGCATGAGGACGCAGAGCGACAGAACTTTACTCCCGTCACTTAGTTTGGGAGAGTAGAATGGGATAACCGTTTTGGAAAAGTAATTGGACAATTTCTTATAAAGGTCCACTTGCCATGTGATCCATTAATCCCCTGGGGATTTACTCAAGGGAAATTGAAACTTGTGCGCGCATAATAGTTCATACATAATTGTAAATAATTGTGTAAATAATTCAAAAGCCCTACCCCCAACTGCGAACGCACAAAAGCTCTTTAATGGGTAAATATAAGCTAATTATGTTGTCTATACAATCAAAAGCTACTTGAAAAAACACAATTGTCCTTTGACAGATGTAATGCTTGGAAGTTTCTAGAGGTTTTTTTGCCGGCTGAGTCATCTCGCCTGCCCCTTTTTTCTTCAGAAAAGATCTTGCTTGGACAGCCCAAACTGGTCTTGAATTCATAATCTTGCATCAGCCTCCCAAGTGCCGGGAATTCGGAGTGTGCTCCACTCCATCCAAAGAGATCATCATTTTTTACTTTGTTGGTATTCTCTGCTTTTTATTGTCTTTGTTTTTTGAACTCCTTATCTCAAGAGCTACAATTACAGTTAGGTACCAACCCCTTGGCTCTTCTAGTTTCTTTCTTTCTTTCTTTCTTTCTTTCTTTCTTTCTTTCTTTCTTTCTTTCTCTCTTCCCTTTCTTTCTTTCTTTCTTTCTTTTCTTTATTTCTTTCTTTTTCTTTCTTTCTTTCTCTTTTTCCCCTTTGGGTTTTTCAAGATAAGGTTATGTAGTTCTGGTTTTCCCAGAACGCACTCTTGTAGACCAGGCTGGCCTTGAAATCAAAAGATCCACCTGCCTCTACCTCCCAAGTGCTGGTTTGATTAAAGGTGTGTGCCACGACACCTGCCTAATTTCGTATCGTTTCTTTTTTCTCTTTCTTTCTCTCTCTCTCTCTCTCTCTCTCTCTCTCTCTCTCTCTCTCTTTCCTTCCTCTGTCTCTTTTTAGATTTATTTATTATAAATAAGTATTACACAGTGTTCTACTTGGAGAACAGAAGAGGGCACCAAATCTCATTATAAATGGCTGTGAGCCACCATGTGGTTTCTGGGAATTGAACTTGGGACCTCTGGAAGAGCAGCCAGTGCTCTTATCCTCTGAGCCTTCTCTCCAGCCCAACCTACCTAGTTCCTTAAAATAGATTCTTAGATTATTAGTGGAGGACTTTCTTCTTTTCTAACAACCCATTTAAAAAACTATACTTTTCACACTGGGGATTGCTTTTAGAGGCATCCCACAGATTATATTTTGTTCTCATTAATATTTGACTCTAAATGTTTTCCAGTTTTCCTTGTGATTTCTCTCTCTTACTCATGGGCTATTTAGAAGAAGAGAGATGTCAGCTGGGTGTAGTGGTACACAGCTGCAAAACCAACACTTGGAGGATGAAGGTGGGAGGATTAGAAATCCAAGATCAGCTGCAGCTACTTCTGGAGTTTAAGACCAGGCTGAGCTTCATGAGCACCCGCCTCATAAAAACATGGGTTCAGTTTCATCCCGAGCACCCACATCAAACAGCTGGTAACTGCCTGTAACTCTACTTCCAAAGGATCTGGTGCCCTCTCCTAGCCTCCACAGTGGTGTAGGTGGTCAGGACAGGAAGTTTACAGTAGGCATTTGAGTATTACATGAATCTGCATCTGCAGATAAGAAACTTGGGGGGGGGGGCGTTTCTGGTAGTCCCAGTTATGGAGCATTTGTGAAGTTTCCATCTGATGGCCATCCTCGCCTACAAGCTTGTTAGGATTGGATTATCTACTCTCACTCTGCTGTGGGCAGACAGCCTCAGTTCCTTACTGCATAGGTCTCTCTAGCACTACTTACAGCATGAAGCTAGCCTGCTGCTTCCCTAAGAGAGCCGTGAACTGGGCAGAGGGAAGGAGGAATGAGAGCTGCAAAATGTCCACTCTTGGAAAGGACATGCCATCATTTTCCACAATTTATTGATCTCTTGGATCAACCCTGGTATAGTGTAGAAGGGGACCACACAAGGAAGTGAATACCAAGACACAGGGATTTGGGAATACCATCTTGGAGGTTGGCTCTTATATTCCAGACTTATTTTACTGTCCAGCACATGGTCTATTTTGTGTATTTATTGCTGTTGAGGATAATGCTCCACAAGTAGCTTGTAGACCAAGGCATTGCAGGTGTTATTCACATCTCCAACAGGAGTGAGTCTCCAACAGTGGGGCAATTTTGCCACTTATGGGTCATTTGGCAATGTCTAGAGGTAACTTGGCTTTTTACAAAGAGGAGGGCTGCCACTGACACCTATAGAATTATGGTGTGGGCTGAATTGTATCCTCCAGAGAGAAATGTCTTAACTTCCATCGCCTGTGAATGTGACTTCGTTTGGAAACAGGTTCTTAATAGATGTCCTAAGTTAAGTTAGAATGGCCCCTAGTGCTCTGGTGAGAAGGGAGAAACTTGGACATGAAGACACACAAGAAGAAGATAACCATTTAAGGACAAAGGATGCTGGAGATGTGTTCTTACAGGCCAAGGAATAACAGGGGTACCCAGAAGCTGTAAGAGGCAGAAGAGGGTCTTCCCCCAGAGGATTCAGAGGAAGCCTGGCATTACTGGTCCTTTTGTTTCAGACTTCTGGCCTGCACAACTATGAAAAAAATTGCTATTGTTTTTGTTTTTGTTTTGTTGAGCCCAAGTCTCATTGCCCACACTGGTCTCAAACTCTTCATGAAGTCAAACTCCCAAGTGCTGAGATTAAAGGTGTGTATTG